TCCAATTGATTTTAATTTTGGAAATCTGTTCCCAAGTATTCCCATGTATAATAGAGAGACACGTGATCGTATACAAACGTAAGCAAGGTTTGAAATGATTACTTCGCTTCTTGCGGTCAATTTGCCATCTACAAATTATTTGTAATTATGTTCAGGCCCTCTGACCAACCACTCAAGCAATAATCGGCCACTGCTGAATCTAGTTGAGGATTCCTGCGCCAGGCTAGAGTTAACATTGCCATAGCACTTCAGAAAGCATCTCGTCTGAATGGCGGAAGCAGTTAACTGTCAGTATAACTGTGGCGTTGTCTCCCTAAAAGCTTCTTGCTATTGGGCACAGATGTCAATTCAACGTCTATTTCACGTTAGTTCAACATAATTTCATTGAAATGAGGTGTAAAAAACATTGATTTAACCAGTGTGTGTCTAGTGGGTTATTTCTTCTGACTGAATGGGAGCACTTTTCTGTAATCGTCCTTGTCTGGGCTGGGAAACAACTTGAAGACAAGACCTATGATACAATGTCATTCAAGGCAGCCTACAGCAACATAAACTGATTTAATATTTTGATGCGTAAATCTAATGATCAAACACCTTGCGAGGGAATTACAGAACAATAGCTGACTTCATGCTGAAAACGTATATTGCAGCGCTACCAAAAGGTGCACACAGCAAGTACTAAGAATAAACAGATTTAGAAATATTACATGGCAATTGTATTTTAGCTTACTCTTATGTGATTCTTATCAGTTTTCAATGTTAACTTTGAGAGAGTTTTTGACACATGATACAATGTGACGTGCCCAGGAGCATCGAGGGCCAAATGAAACTGGTATGGTGAAATATTAATCTTAATCTCTGCTCCTCATAAATAGCTCAATCTCAGCAGGCAGGCAGAACCTACCTGCAGATGGTGGCTATATGGACAGTAGCAGAAGCAGCCTCAGGCTCAGCCCACACAAGCCTGGCTCACCACACTACTCCTCCACAGCTCTCCGGTGTTTCCAGATGCATTTCACAGACTAACTCATCTGTGAGAATCCATTTCAAATAATGTTTTGATGACTATGAGCCTACGCATGCATTGAAAAAATGTGAGCCACAGTGTTGCGTGTTACAACCATTGGGTCATTGGGTTAAACTATTCTACCTCAAACAGTCTTATGTCTGTTCTGGCACAGTCTGGCTTCCATGGCTTCCAAGCATAATGTGTCTTGGACTGGTACGTCTCTGCTCAGTGAATAGATAGAGAGAGAGTGAGAGAGAGAGAGATCTTGTCATTGCTCTGGGGTTGCGTGCCGTGGCGGGGCTGTGGTGACATAAAGTAGGCTGTGTCACTCCTTTCCTCCCAGGGCTAAGACCCAGAGCCCGGTGACATAAAGCAGGCTGTGTCACTCCTTTCCTCCCAGGGCTAAGACCCAGAGCCCGGTGACATAAAGCAGGCTGTGTCACTCCTTTCCTCCCAGGGCTAAGACCCAGAGCCCTGGTGACATTAAGCAAGCTGCGTCACTCCTTTCCTCCCAGGGCTAAGATGTTGAAGGTCTCTACTTCCATCCTCCATTTGTTCTCGTTACCCCCAGTGGAAAGACCCTGGCTGTCAAAAGGAAACATGGCCACCTTTGACCCCTAATATGCTGCAAAACTATTAAGTCTTTAGTAGCACCAACTCCTCAGGCGGTAGGCTACCTCTGTCACATGCATGGCCCTGTTGTATACTGCTCATTCATGTAATTGCCTGTCTTTTTTTTTTTTATGGTGCCAAAACCACAGAAGCGCTATATTGAGATGATATGGTAGCTATAGCAATGACAAGGTGATATCAGTAAATAAGAATGGCATTGAGCTAGAGACGGAGACAAGACCTGAGGCTCTGGTCAACAACTCTTCTTTTCAGCACTCACATTATACTGTAAACTACATGTTATTCTTTATTCAGTCTGCACATGAAGGAAAATAGGAGTGAGAAAATACATTGATTCAAAGACAAGGAAAAAGGTAAAACAACCAGATGTTCATTGGGAATACATTTTATTAGTAATAATAATCTGCCAAATATACAGCCATTATTGATCCATCTACATATTATACATATTCATATAGGTCATTTACAAAATTAGTAATTAGTCAGAAACAGCAGATATACATCATAATTTCTCCTGCATTTCATGTTACTGTATACGTTAGAACTGAAGAACAGATCAGCATTCCCCCGGGACGGACAGACAGACGGACAGACAGCAGAGTCAATGGGAGGAGAGGAGACATGGGGTATTTCCATAGAGAACATTATGACAGTACTGACACTAATGCATCTTATTCCAGACCACAGGAAGAAGCATGAGGAGACCAGTGACGGCTCAATGAAACCCAGGGCTCGTATTTACAAAGCTTCTCAGAGTAAGAGTGCTGATCTGGGATCAGATCCCCATCTGTCCATATCTTATTCATTATGCAAAACTGATCCTATATCAGCACACTGAGACTCTTTGTAAATAAGGGTCCAGAACAATAATTACAACAAGCTGATAAATCATCTGATTCCACTAATCAAATCAAAGATCTGATTACTTTTGTTACAAAGCATTTTTTTTTTAAGTGTTTGCAAAACAGAGAAATTGAGTTTGTCCTGTATATACACACACAACATTAACTCACTTCTGATTGGCTGAAGTCTAAAGACAAAATCCAGTCTTGCCACATGAGTGTTTCAATATGCCAACAGACATTTCAGTCAGGTATTATAGAAAACAACTTACACAACTTCTCCACACAAGGAAAGTCATTGGTTAGTTCACAGCAAAGGGACACATTTTATACATTGGCTATATTCATTAGTTTTTCAGTGCATTATTGAACAAAAATGAAAGAATAGCAGACTTAAGCAAACATTTGTTAACTTCCTGTCCATGAACTATTCAAAGACACAGTTTTACTCATAAAATAGAACTGGTGTGTAAACAAGATTTCAAATCAACAACTCATAATTGACTTCACCAAGATGCAATGTACAGTCCTTCTATAGAGTACTAACTAACTGTTGTGGTTCTAATGCATTAGAACCACAACGTCCAAAGGAGCTGCAGAGGATGTCAACAGTAAACAACCATCTTAGAGGTACATTGTTCTGTAACGATTGACTATACTGTACCTCCATATACATGGCCCACTCATAGCACATCTATAAACACAAATTAGCATATATGTTATGAAATGTTGAATTTAAAGTGCTTATAGGTAGGTTATGAGTACTTCATGAAGATAGAGTTACTGTAATGTAAATCATTATCTACAATTTAGAGAATTTTGCTAAAACAAACAATGCCCTGGTGCAAAATGCTGAAGCTGGTCGTTTGCTACGGAGTTGGAACGATAACATGAAGACATTTTGAGTAGATGTAAAAATGTAAAAGCTGCCAGAATGATAAATGTCTGAAATGAATATGGATAAAAAATAAATAAATCAGTGATAATAACAGAGTGAAATATCTTCAAAAGACTGTAAACATTTCCCATAAAGGTTCTTCCTCATTACCATTTCAAATATGTACTAAATTGTCAAGTTCAGAGTATCATCCAAAAATATATTTTTTTATTTTGGTATTAGTTCAAAATCAAACACAGAAATGTAGCATTGTCTGCATGTCTTTGAAAATATATGCATATCTTTGTTAAAATAACAAAATCATAGACATTCTATAGCAATCAGGGTTAGAAGAAGCAAATGAAAAACATTCATCTTCACTTAAAAAACAGACAATATCTTGATAGGGAGATCCCACTGTCAGGGTACTGGCAACACCACAAGGATCTAATTCACTTCCAGGCCTTCGAGTTTAGAACAAGCCACACCTTGCTCCCACTCACCAGTACTTTGGCATTCTATTCCTCTGAACATGAATCACTCGATAAAAAAATCTCTCTGGTCAGTTTGTTAATTCATTGTCATCAGAGCAGCGTATTGCATTTCTTTACAATTAAACAGACCACGACACACAGTGTACAACTGTACTATGTAATCTTAATCTCTTGTGGACAGACGCACGTAACATAAATGGTAGTATGGCATCTGTCAACAGACTGTGAGATGTGACGACTAACCATTTCGCAGGTGCTCGCATCGTTCAAATTTCCGAAGGGAAAGGGACATTTTGCCCATACACTTGCCTGAAACTTGCAGAGAGTTTCCATTTTGGGGTGATGGAGACCTCGCAAGTCACGTTAGTATCTTTCTCTTAACATCTCCCCCCAGAACCGAAATGAGCACTGACGCAATTATGCAAGATTTTAGTTCTGGGTTTCCGAGATTAATATCATTTAAAAAAGTTAATCATTTACATTTTAGTCATTTAGCAGACGCTCTTATCCAGAGCGACTTACAGGAGCAATTAGGGTTAAGTGCCTTGCTCAATGGCACAGACAGATTTTTCAGCTAGTCGGCTCGGGGATTAGAACCAGCGACCTTTCGGTTACTGGCACAACGCTCTTAACCACTAAGCTACCTGCCGCCCCATGTACAAGTAACACTGCAAGGACACAGGTTTTAAGGAGACAATTTGGCAGCAAAATAATTAGAGAACCACAATTGTAAAATGACTTAACCTGCACTGTATGAGTATAATAACTTGGATAAAAATAACATCATTCTGTCAACATTTAGGACAAAAGGACGTGAAATCTGAAAAGACAAAATGATATAAAACGTACAACATATGATCAGCAAGCCAACAACACAACGGTACTCTTTAGAGATAATCCTGTGAGTATTGATGACAGTAGTTTACCTGAGTTAGATACCGGTTAACAGTGGTTAAAAATCAAGAAGCACATACATCGGACAAAGAATTATGGAGAACTGACTTCATCATAGTGCAGAGAATTACAGGGAGAGAGGGATGAGGGACTGGGGGCGCTACAACTCCTCCATTCACACAGTAAAACACAGATGGGTACACTTGACTTGACCAATGGACAGGCAGAGACAAACCACTGGAGAGAGAAGGTTATTGGTGGAGGATCTGCTGCAGCACCTCCAGCAAGTGTTTCAGGCCATAGATGTAGCCTTGGTCCTGGCTCTCGCTGGGGAAGACATGGGCAAAGTCAATCATCCTCACCTCCACTTCGCTGACCCTCTGCTCTGGATGTGGCTCCCCACGGCCTCCCTCCCCCACCCCAGACTCTTCTTCCAGTTGGGCTTTGATACCGTTGCCGTTGGGTTGCTCTGCTGGCACCAGACCTGGGCACTTCCACGTGCTGTTGTCCTCCTGGGGGTTTGGGCCTGTCGTGGTGTCGCTGGCGGCGGTGACTTCGCCATGGTGACCCCGGGTGCAGCCCTTCTTGTACATGGTGTACATGGTGGACAGGCTGTAGTCGAGCGGCACGGCAACCCGGATGTTGTTGTTGTATTCCAGTACTTCTTCATTGGGCTCACAGCAGGCGTCAGCGGCAGACGTAGTCTTCTCTGGGGGGCCCCTGAAGACATGGCCCTCAGGGCTGGGAGGGGGCAGGCCCTCATATACAAACAACAGAGAGCTAGCATAGAAGGTTAACTGGCTCTGGCCCTCGAACCATCGCAGGATGTTCTGGACCTTCAGGATACTGGCAGCGACGGCATCTTTTCTCAGACTCCTCCCATTAGAGAAGAATTTGGATAAACCTGGGAGAGGAATGGGAAAGGAAATTGTTGTTGTTGAGGAATCCAATGTTTACTGATAAGAAATATGATGGTGATGATTTGATCTGTTTAGACGATGCCTGAAGCTTTTTCTTATTAGAGAGCAAGTTCAGCAAGTGACTACAACCTACACCAGGGGTCTCCAATTACATTTAGCCGTGGGATGATTTTTGAGCGGATGGTCAGGGGGCCAGAGCATAGTTTTAAAATAAATAGTACATTGCAAATTGACCGCAAGAATCCCAAACAGATATATTATTTGACAAAAACAGAATCATTACAAACCTTGATTACATTGGGATACGATCACATATGCCTCTATCTATGCGTGGTAATACTTGGGAACAGATTTCCTCAATTAACATCACCGAGTTGATTTCCTGGTGATATTACTGTCTTATGTCCAACAACGAAAATTATATATATATATTTTTTCAAACTTAGTGGCCCAAATCAAATCAACAGGCCGAATTTGCCCTTAGGGCCACCTATTGGGGAACCCAGACCTTAAGCCTGTTGAAATAGACAGAAGGATATAATGTTGTGTATTTTGTGACAGGATTATTATTGTTTTAGGAGCTCACCATCTTTGATGGTGTCCTTGAGAAGGCCTCGCCCGTAATGTTGATCATACGAGTGATATTCGTCAGAGTTGACCTTGTACACCTGGAGGGTTAGAAGGACAGAAGGAAGAATTAACATCAATGGCAAGAAACAGTTAGATGCAGTACATAGACCTATTGTTTCTTCTCATACGGGAGCACTAAAAAGCAACGCTGCACAACTTCAAAAAGGAGATGATGCGTCTCTATATAACGTTCAACTCAAAGTGACCTCTCCATGATAGAATCACGGGTGGAATACTCCCTCTGGTGGAGAAATTATATATAAACACAATTTGCTCAAAACATTTATATTATGATGGACATGTAGAGTGGGGCCTGGAATGATTGGATCCCTTAAAAAAGATCAGCAAAAAAGACAAACAAATAACAAAAAAAGTACAATTACAAGAAAAGAAAAGAAAAAGGTTGATGATTTGCATACATTTGCATAGAGATATATTTTAAAGAACTAGTGAGTAAAGTAATTTATTTATTATTTGTATTACTTGTAAAAAACAAAATCTCTTATTCTGAGCAACTGTATTAGTATAAAATAATATAATTTTTTATGTTTTTGAGCATACAATATAGCTCAGTATGTGTTATTTATTTTATACAGTATTTGCTCACTGTAATCAAGGGATCCTATAATTCCAGACCCCACTGTAATGTGACAATGTACTTATGTGTCTGTGAGGACCCAGAGACATTCATTCCATGTCCATGCTGAGAGGAGCATTTTACCAGAGGGATTCCTCCCTCTTTCACTGCAATCAGGAACATCATTATCAGTAATGAGTCTCATCACTTTGTGGTCACACACTGCAGACAAGCAGAATTTTCCATGCTCCGAGCCAAAAAGCCCCTCCCCTGGAAAAACTCATAATAGTGAACACATCAAAACTATGAAATAACACATATGAAATCATGTAGTCAACAAAAAAATAAAGTGTTAAACAGATTCTTCAAATAGCCACCCTTTGCCTTGATGACAGCTTTGCACACTCTTGGCATTCTCTCAACCAGCTTCACCTAGAATGCTTTTCCAACAGTCTTGAAGGAGTTCCAACATATGCTGAGCACTTGTTGGCTGCTTTTCCTTCACTCTGCCTTCCGTCTCATCCCAAACTCTCTCAATTTGGTTGAGGTCGGAGGATTGTGAAGGCCAGGTCATCTGATGCAGCACTCCATCACTCTCCTTCTTGGTCAAATAGCCCTTACACAGCCTGGAGGTGTGTTGGATCATTGTCCTGTTGAAAAACAAATGATAGTCCCACTAAGCCCAAACAGATGGGATGGCGTATCGCTGCAGAATGCTGTGGTAGCCATGCTGGTTAAGTGTGTCTTGAATTCTAAATAAATCACAGACAGTGTCACCAGCAAAGCACCCTCACACCATAACACCTCCTCCTCTATGCTTTATGGTGGAAAATACACATGCAGAGATCATCCGTTCACCCACACTGCATCTCACAAAGACACGGCGGTTGGAACCAAAAATCTCAAATTTGGACTCCAGACAAAACAACACATTTCCACCGGTCTAATGTCCATTGCTCGTGTTTCTTGGCACAAGCAAGTCTCTTCTTCTTATTGGTGTCCTTTAGTAGTGGTTTCTTTGCAGCAATTCGACCATGAAAGCCTGATTCACACAGTCTCCTCTGAACAGTTGATGTTGAGATGTGTCTGTTACTTGAACTCTGAAGCATTTATTTGGGCTGCAATTTCTGAGGCTGGTAACTCTAATGAACTTTTCCTCTGCAGCAGAGGTAACTTCCATTCCTGTGGCGGTCCTCATGAGAGCCAGTTTCATCATAGCGCTTGACAGTTTTTGCAACTGCACTTGAAGAAACTTGAAAAGTTCTTGAAATTTTCCGGATTGACTGACATTCACGTCTTAAAGTAATGATGGACTGTCGTTTCTCTTTGCTTATTTGAGCTGTTCTTGCCATAATATGGACTTGGTCTTTTACCAAATAGGGCTATCTTCTGTATACCCCCCCTACCTTGCCACAACACAACTGATTGGCTCAAACGCATTAAGGAGGAAAGAAATTCCACAAATTAAGTTTTAAGCAGGCCTACCTGTTAATTGAAATGCATTCCAGGTGAATACCTCGTGAAGCTGGTTGAGAGAATGCCAAGAGTGCGCAAAGCTGTCATCAAGGCAAAGGGTGGCTATTTGAAGAATCTCAAATGTAAAATATATTTTGATTTGTTTAACACTTTTTTGCTTACTACATGATTCCATATGTGTTATTTCATACTTTTGATGTTTTCACTATTATTCTACAATGCAGAAAATAGTACAAATAAAGCAAAACCCTGGAATGAGTAGGTGTCCAAACTTTTGACTGATACTGTATGTTTAGAGTTTTCAACAGATGACAAAGACACTGGAAGCTGCTCTATACTTAGTCCACTAAAAATACAACAATCAAATGAAAATCTACTTTATTGGTCGCATACACATATTTTGCAGAGGTTATTGCAGGTGCAGCGAAATGCTTATGTTCCTAGTTTCAACAGTGCAGTATACCTAACAATACAAGACAATACACACAAATAGTCATTTTTGAATGACTACCTCGTCTCTGTACCCCATACATACAAATATATGTAAGGTCCCTCAGTCAAGCAGTGAATTTCAAACACAGATTCAACCACAAAGATCAGGGAGGATTTCCAATGCTTCGCAAAGGCACCTATTGGTAGATGGGTAAAAATGTAATAAGCAGACATTGAATATCCCTTTCAGCATGGTAAAGTTATTAATTACACTTTGGATGGTGTATCAATACACCCAGTCACTATGGGATACTAGCAGATACCCATAGACTTCCAGTCATTGCGCTAACGCCAGTTAGCATTGGCTCATGAAACTACCTCAAACTTCCTTCATACAGTACACAGAGACAAAAATGGTATCCACAAGTACATCTGACTCTTGGGGAGTAGATAAAGTGCCTCATTGCCAAAATCTCCAAGTATGCCTTTAATGCCTGTGAAAGGAGAAAACTGAGGATGGATCAACAACATTGTAGTTACTCCACAATACTAACCTAATTGACAGAGTGAAAAGAAGGAAGCCTGTACAGAATAAAACATTTCCAAAACATGCACCCTGTTTCCAACAAGGCACTAAAGTAATACTGGAAAAAATTGTGCAAAGCAATTCACTTTTTGTCCTGAATACAAAGTGTTATGTTTTGGGCAAATCCAATACAACACATTTCTGAATACCACTCTCATATTTTCAAGCAAAGTGGTGACTGCATCATGTTATGGGTATGCTTGTAATCGTTAAGGACTGGGGAGTTTTTCAGGATAAAAAAAAGAAACTGAATTGATTTATGCACAAGCAAAATCCTTGAGGAAAACCTGGTTCAGTCTGCTTTTCACCAGACACTGGGAGATTAATTCACCATTCAGATGGACAATAACCTAAAACACAAGGCCAAATCTACACTGGAATTGCTTAACAAGAAGAGAGTGAATGTTCCTGAGTGGCCAAATTACCGTTTTGACTTAAATCTGCTTGAAAATCTATGACAAGACTTGAAAATGGTTGTCTAGCAATGATCAACAACCAATTTGAAAGAATAAATGGGCAAATGTTGCACAATCCAGGTGTGGAAAGCTCTTAGAGACTTACCCAAAAAGACTCACAGCTGTAATCACTGCCAAAGGTGATTCTAACATGTATTAGGGGGTTGAATACTTACAGTTGAAGTCAGAAGTTTACATACACCTTAGCCAAAGACATTTAAACTCAGTTTTTCACAATTCCTGACATTTAATCCTAGTAAAAATTCCCCGTCTTAGGTCAGTTAGGATCACCACTTTATTTTAAGAATGTGAAATGTCAGAATAATAGGAGAGAGAATTATTTATTTCAGCTTTTATTTCTTTCATCACATTCCCAGTGGGTCAGAAGTTTACATACACTCAATTAGTATTTGGTAGCATTGCCTTTAAATTGTTTAACTTGGTTCAAACGTTTCGGGTAGCCTTCCACAAGCTTCACATAATAAGTTGGGTGAATTTTGTCCCATTCCTCCTGACAGAGCAAACAAATTGTCTATAGGATTGAGGTCAGGGCTTTGTGATGGCCACTCCAATACCTTGACTTTGTTGTCCTTAAGCCATTTTACAACTTTGGAAGTATGCTTGGGGTCATTGTCCATTTGGAAGACCCATTTGCAACCAAGCTTTAACTTCCTGAATGATGTCTTGAGATGTTGCTTCAATATATCCACATAATTTTCCTTCCTCATGATGCCATCTATTTTGTGAAGTGCACCAATTCCTCCTGCAGCAAAGCACCCCCACAGCATGATGCTGCCACCCCCGTGCTTCACAGTTGGGATGGTGTTCTTCGGCTTGCAAGCAACCCCCTTTTTCCTCCAAACATAACAATGGTCATTATGGCCAAACAGTTCTATTTTTGTTTCATCAGACAAGAGGACATTTCTTTGCACCTTGTCCCCATGTGCAGTTGCAAACCGTAGTCTGTCTTTTTTATGGCGGTTTTGGAGCAGTGGCTTCTTCCTTGCTGAGCGGCTTTGTCGATATAGGACTCGTTTTACTGTGGATATAGATACTTTTGTACCTGTTTCCTCCAGCATCTTCACAAGGTCATTTGCTGTTGTTCTGGGATTGATTTGCACTTTTCGCACCAAAGTATGTTCATTTCTAGGAGACAGAACGCGTCTTCTTCCTGAGTGGTATGATGGCTGCGTGGTCCCATGGTGTTTATACTTGCATACTATTGTTTGTACAGATGAACGTGGTGCCTTCAGGCGTTTAGAAATTGCTCCCAAGGATGAACCAGGCTTGTGGAGGTCTACAATTATTTTCTGAGTTCTTGGCTGATTTCTTTTGATTTTCCCATGATGTCAAGCAAAGAGGCACTGAGTTTGAAGGTAGGCCTTGAAATACATCCACAGGTACACCTCCAATTGACTCAAATGATGTCAATTAGCCTATCAGAAGCTTCTAAAGCCATGACATCATTTTCTGGAATTTTCCAAGCTGTTTAAAGGCACAGTCAACTTAGTTTATGTAAACTTTTGACCCACTGGAATTGTGATAAGTTAAATAATCTGTCTGTAAACAATTGTTGGAAAAATTACTTGTGTCATGCACAAGGGAGATGTCCTAACCGACTTGCCAAAACTATAGTTTTTAACAAGAAATGTGTGGCGTGGTTGAAAAATGAGTTTTAATGACTCCAAACTAAGTATATGTAAACTTCCAACTTCAACTGTATATTATTTTTTACAACTGTTCGAATTTTCTTCCACTTTGACAGAGTATTTTGTGTAGATCTTTGACAAATAATGACAATTATATCCATTTTAATCCCACTTTGTAACAACAAAATGCGTAAAAAGTCAAGGGGTGTGAATACTTTCTGAAGGCAAGATGATGCTGGACTAGAATACAGTATATACACATATGAAGTGGGTAAAACATTAAAGTGACCAGTGATCAATGACTATGTACATAGGGCAACAGTCTCTAAGGTGCAGGGCAGGGTACTGGGCGGGGGCCCGCTAATGGTGACTATTTAACAGTCTGATGGCCTGGAGATAGAAGCTGTTTTTCCCAGTCTCTCAGTCCCAGCTTTGATGCACTGTCCCCGCCTTCTAGTTGAGGAGGCCATTCAACTAAAGGTAACTGCCAAAATAAAAGAAACACTAACATAAAGCGTCTTAACAGGGCGTTCGGCCACCACAAGCCGCCAGAACAGCTTCAATGCACCATGGCATAGATTCTACAAGTGTCTGGAACTCTATTGGAGGGATGCGACACCATTCTTCTACAAGAAATTCCATCATTTGGTATTTTTTTGATGGTGGTGGAAAATGCTGTCTCAGGCACCGCTCCAGAATCTCCCATAAGGGGTTAAATTGGGTTGAGATCTGGTGACAGAGACACACACCCCCTTTAAACCCCCTATGCTCATTTGAGACCCCTCTTTCAAAGTCACAGAGATCTCTTCTTCTAGAATGGTAGCCAAAATAATGGGCAACTAGGAACTTTTATACATGACCCTAAGCATGATGGGATGTTAATGGATTAATTAACTCAGTAAACACATCTGTGTGGAAACACCTGCTTTCAATATACTTTGTATAAGTGTTTCCTTTCTTTTGGCAGTTGGTCCTTGGGGTGGAGATGAGGTCTTTGCTCTTCTGTAAGTCATTATGGAATGGTAGAATAGTGTTATGTTGGATTTGGCCCTGTGTGATTGATTGGTCAGTGACGACCAAACAGAGAGACGTCAGAATGGACCTGAATGAGGTATTGAACTCTTCACATAAACATTAACCTTGTGAGGTGTGGAGCCAGTCTGACAGGAACTAGGAAGTGGGGAATTGGAAGGTTACGGCAGACTAATGACAAACTCCATTCCATCTCAAATTACCCAGGCAAACAGCAATATTATCTTAAAAACAACACCTGACCTAAATAACTTATATGTATATGTCAACTGTATGTATGTAAGCATGAAGTTGATAGATGTGACTGACTGTAGACCCACAGTCTCTGTTTTCTCAGTAATTTGTCAGTCAGGTCCTTTTTTATTTTAAAAGTATGTAGTTCTTGTTGAGCTGTTTGTCTATTAAAGTTCGGTATTATGCCATGTGTTGTGTGGACCCCAGGAAGAGTAGCTGCTGTTTTCGAAACAGCTAATTGTGATCCTAATAAAATAGAAATAACAAATGCACCTAAATGATCCTTCCAGTCTCTAATCCGCCGCTCTGGTTTGGCTGCCCAGGCAGGTGTATCAACACCTGGTAAACGCCCTTGGAGGGATTATTGTCATTGTGTTCCTGTGATTGCCATATTAACAGAAAACAACTAGTCTAATGGTGTAGATGATGTAATTGGGTATTGATTCTACTTGTTCAATACTAGTTTAACTGGTTTTTGCAACTATACTGAACAAAATAATAAATGCAACATGCAACACTTCTGTTGAGTTTGCAGGCCATGGAAGAACTGGGACATTTTCAGCTTCCAGGAATTGTGTACAGATCCTTGTGACATGGGGCCGTGCATTATCATGCTGAAACTTGAGGTGATGGCGGCGGATGAATGGCACGACAATGGGCCTCAGGATCTCGTCACGTCATCTCTGTGCATTCAAATTGCCATTGATAAAATGCAATTGTGTTTGTTGTCCGTAGCTTATGCCTGCCCATACCATAACCCCACCGCCACCATGGGGCACTGTGTTAACAACCCGCTCGCCCACACAACGCCATACACGTGGTCTGCAGTTGTGAGGCCGGTTAGACCAAATTCTGTAAAACGACGTTAGAGGCGGCTTATGATAGAGAACTTAACATTCAATTCTCTGGCAACAGCTCGGGTGGACATTCCTGCAGTCAGCATGCCAATTGCACACTCCGTCAACTTGAGACATCTGTGCATTGTGTTGTGTGACAAAACTGCACATTTTAGAGTGGCCTTTTTCCCCAGCACAAGGTGCACCTGTGTAATGATCATGCAGTTTATTCAGCTTCTTAATATGCCACACCTGTCAGGTGGATGGATTCTCTTGGCAAAGGAGAAATGCTCACTAACAGGGTTATAAACAAATTTGTGCACAGAATTTGACAGAAATAAGCTTTTTGTGCATATGTAACGTTTCTGGGATCTTTTATTTCAGCTCATGAAACATGGGACCAACACTTTACATGTTGCGTTTATATTTTTGTTCAGTGTATATGCAGTTGAGCTAGGGCAAAAGCACTCAGTTTTTCTTTAACTAAATTTTTCAACCTTGACAGAAATAAAGTATTAATATAATGAACACAGTGGATATCAGAAGTGATCTAAACAACCCTTAATATAGAAACAACCTCACAGTCGGACCTTTCTCTACCGTTACAATCTCAATGGTTACTAATGCCAAGTAACCACTAATGATTATCTAATAGGCAGTTACTCTGAAATTGTAACCGAAGCTTTATGGGAATTTCAGAACACGGTCATTCATCAGCAAGCAGGAACAGCAAGCAGGAACTCCCCAGTGAATTAACAACGTTTAGCTCATGTAATGATTTGCATGATATTGATCAATTGAAGCCAGGTTTGTTCTAAGGTAACTTTAATACGCTAAAGTAGCTAATCTTTAACTAGTAGCCAATGATTTATGATATGATGAAGATGCAGAAAGGATTTTGTTTAGCTTTCTACCTAGCGCTGTATAATAAACTACTTTTTTATTTGTATGAGAGGGGTATTCGTTCATTTTTGATAGGCTACTTGATGAAGCATATGTTGTTAGCCAGCTAGCAGTGCTTTATGTGCTATTGTCTTGAGAAAATAAACCCTCAATTGTCTGCACATTCTTGTGAATAGTTGCATTATTCAGGGTTGTAACTTGGTTTAGATGAGAAGTTGCTCACATAGTTGATTAATAGTTTGTTAAAGGATGCTAATGGCTTCTGTGATATTTACTGTAAATATTGCTGCTCAGCAAGAATGTTGAGTTGCCAAGCCAGGGCCAAAGAAAGGTAAGGCAAGGATGTACTTTGAATTGAAAAGTAGAAATCTCTTTGCAGCACAGACTCTCAATCTGAATAAGCCCCAAGGTACTGCCACACAGGTCTCATATAGCCCCTCTCAATAAAATGAATGGCATTAGCAATTGGAGAGCCCTTTTCAACCCAGTGGGAGGGACTCATGATGAGGCTGAAGAGGAAGACTCACCCTCATTCCGAGAAGCAGGAAGCCAACTTCCTCCATGAGAGGGTACTTCTTGATCTGCTGGTCCCGCTTCTCGTGGGAGGCATAGGGGTCGTAGCTCTTCTGGCCGATCTTCACATCCATAATACAAGGCTTCTGGAACCGCCGAGTCACGTCCTCCAGTTTCAGGTACAGCTCTGTGATGTAATCAGAGGGCGCAGAAACATGGCATGAGAGACGTTGGACATTTAGACAAATAAATCAACCTATTTGGCCACTAGAATGATAGAAGAGGCGGTGTTTCACCCCTACAGCCATACAGTATTTCTAGGAGCAAAGCACTGCCATGATTGTTTACGTTTATACAACGGGTGGGTCTAATCCTGAATGCTGATTGGTTTAAACTGCATTCCAGCCGGTGACAGAAGTATTTTTGAATGGAGTGCTGTCCTAGGATCCGTTTCTGCCTTTTAAATCCAAATGAGTATGATTTTATGGGCAGGGAGGACCGGAACCTAGATTAGCACTCCTCCTCAGAGTTATTTTATGAATACAGACCCTGGTACATGTTGAAGTCATGTTTTTAATACTGTCCTAGGGATGTTTAAGGATTTCTTATGGACCGGTGTTTACCGTTAGGATATTCAGGCGAGGACCAGGTGCCAAAGTATTTAGGGAGGTGATGCTGGAGGTCCAACAGACACGGGTCGCCGCAGTCCTCAGCGTAGACCTGGACGAAGCAAAGGACATCCTTGTTGAAGAATCAAAATCAGCTCATTTGCGGGAACTAATCCCCATCTCTATGTGGGAATTTCAATGTCTTTATTGATAGGGGTGTTGTTTCACCAACATGTCACATGTAGGGGTGGCCTAGCGGTTAGAACAGTTGGCCAGTAACCAAAAGGTCGCTGGTTCAAAAACCCGAGCTGACAATGTGAAAAATCTGCCGATGTGCCCTTGAGCAAGGCACTTAACCCTAATTTGCTCCAGCTACAATTTTCCTTCCCTTTTATAGTTTACTACCGTGAAATGGTGGTGGAAGTAGCCAAGTTTAACTACTAATACATGATTCCTCTGTAAGAGTGTTTCCAAAGCAACCATTTCATCCTGTGGACATTTAGTCCACTTTAACAATAGGAGAGTAAGCAGTTCCGGTGGAAAGCCCTGATAACCCTCTGGTTAAAATGTTGCAGTGGGCACGTCAAGATAAACACCTTTCCTAAACCCTTCAATAAACAGATAGCCCACTGGTTTATATGCAGAGTGTGCCAACCTTGCCCACTGAGCTAGTAAAGACGTGGACTACATTACTGGACACAGTATGGCCTGCTAGGCTTCCTCAAGAGCTACTCAGGGAGATTGAAATAATACCCCTCTCTTTTTATTAACATTTAATCTAAACGTCAACTTGAACATAACTTTATTGAAACTGACATGGAAAGATTGTTCCCAAGTACACAAGTAACATTTTGAATAATTTAAAGTGATTACTTTTTGCTGACTTCATGTAGAACTGAGAGCAATTTCATAGAGAATACTGTAACTGTACAGTCAAAATTGATGTACTTTCAGATAATATCTATTTTGTATCTTTTTGGAGCATCAAAATACGTGGATGGTTACCTTGCTGTAGAACCGCATCTCTCTAGGACCTCGGGGAGGGGGCTGGAGCTGTTTGAGTACTGTGCCATCAGGATGTTGCAATATGCCTGTTGTAACAAAAGGTGTGGGCCATTCTGACACTTAGTAAAGATCTAGTACTGGTTGCCACATAAAGGCCTAGTCTGAATATTTCAGAAATACATCCTTCCTTCCTGCTAAATAATCACTGATCAGACAACTGTGCAACCATGTTAGATTTGTAGTTACTTCAAGAGAGGAAGGAAGAATGCATTTAGAAAGTATTCAGACAGGGCTAGGGTTGCAAAGCTACTGGTAATTTACCAATGTTACTAGAATCTTCTGTAATTTTGGTAATTAACAGGTAATCTAGGTAATTTATACATTAATCACTTTTTTTTTTAAATGTATTCATATATAATAGTCATATTGTCTATGAGTTTCTAGTGGATACACCATATGGTTCAAGAGAAAATAGCCTAATTAAGGAAAAAAGCATCTATATAATAATATAATAATATGCCATTTAGCAGACGCTTTTATCCAAAGCGACTTACAGTCATGCGTGCATACATTTTTTTTTTTGTGTATGGGTGGTCCCGGGGATCGAACCCACTACCTTGGCGTTACAAGTGCCGTGCTCTACCAGCTGAGCTACAGAGGACCACAAGCAACAATCTAAGCAACAATCTAAGCAACAATCTAAGCAACAATGGGCATTTTTTTAATTAACTCTGCAACTCTTCCAACTATTGACTTTTTTCACAACTGCCACCAGTTTGGTGCCAAAACATTTACAACAAAGACACATTGACATAGTCAAATAAATAAAAGTGTTAAAAAATATATATAAAGGATATTTCATGCTGAAACCCTCATATTAAAAACCAACGCTATTCACTAAGTTGATGGTTTATATTTAGGATAATGTTTTACAGCTTTGTCATTCTATTTTTTATTTTTTAAATCATATTATTTTACATGTGATAAGGCCACACAGAGAGCCAGAGATAATTACAGACACCTGTGATAATCTGAAGTACCCAAAAATGGCACTAGATTTCATCTGATAAATTCCCCCTAAAAAGCTTGAAAGTTACAAAAATATATATAGTAACACACACCCTACCTTTGCAAACCTAGACAGGGCCAAACAGTTTGCCAGTTGGGAACCAGCAATACCAAACTGAGAAGTGCAAAGGTTAACTTGTGTTTAACATGAAGTCATAAAACGATGTACCTTATACAAAAACGCCTGAGCACCAGTAACCTATAAAGTCTGACACTATAGACTCACTGTGTGAGACTTTGCTCTAATATTAGATAGATAGGAGTTGGAAAAAGAAATGAACACTCCCAAGCATCAGCGTTTAATCAACTCTGAGGTTAGATGTATCAAGAGTCTTTAGAAAGTGACCTAAATACGAATGTGACACCCATTCCTTCCTGAGTGTAGGATTCAACTGAAAGGCTCTTAGCAGAGACAACCGGTTTTAAATCCCACTTACACTGGTGCTCTGTCACTGTCTCCGAGGCCAGAAATAATTTTTACATTTTAGTAATTTAGCAGACGCTCTTATCCAGAGCGACTTACAGTTAGTGAGCGCATACATTTTCATACTGGCACCCCGTGGGAAACGAACCCACAACCTTGGCGTTGCAAGCGCCATGCTCTACCAACTGAGCTACAGGGGACAAATAATACATTGGTTCTTCCCACTCTTGACAGTTCAGTTTTAGCAGTCTTACTTCAGGCATTGGATTTTGTAAGCCTATCAGGAGTGATCAGTATTCCCCTATTAATTTAGCAGTAGCCCAAATGCAGCCCCTGCAGGAAGACCCCCCACCCCTCGATAAGTTCAGTCACTGACCTACTTTATCAACGCCATACTTATGACCGGCCACCTGATGGGAGAGCGGCACACATCCGTTCAGGTGGGCCGCCTGCGATCCTCCCTGGGCGTTCTTCTCCTTCACCGAGCCGGAGAGACAAGTCCCCAGGTTCACCATGGGTCTATTGATTTCCAGTCTTCCCAAAGCTAAAGAGTCCATTATCTGATGTTGAGTCGACATGCGCAATTCAATGGCTTTCAATAAAATGAAATAGGCAATCTATAATTCACATGTTGATATTAGTTAGGTAATCAGCGCATCCCCCGCACAATTTCGAACACCGAGGGGTATCTTCATCGAATTCGTCAAATGGGCTCGCGTTCAGCACCAAGTCTAACCTAGTATTTACAATGTAGCAAGGCTGCAAAAGCACCGCTACAATGAGTTTCATATCTTGGTCGGCAACATTAATACAGTCTTGCCACATCCCACTTCCTCAAGGAACTGTTCTGACGACACAAGACCGATATTTGCGTGCAATTTCGAAAAGTGGAGTTTCTTCTAAACTACTTATAGCGCGACCCGTTTTGTTTGCTATTTGGAAAACACATACATTACAAACAAGCCCCGTTGTTTGCTGCTTATATTACACGTCCCACAATGCTAAAAGACAGGCTGCTAACCGTGACATCACATCTGACGTACAGGCTCCTTGACGCAAAATTGTTTATCAATATAAAATAAGCACGGGAAACAATATAATGTCGGACACGCTATCGATGTCTTTTGAAGAATTGCAAGGGTCTTCACATTCGAACATTATCCAATGTGTGTGGCTGGGCGGCTATCCCATCTCATCTTGCTAGCTAACGTTACCTACCTACACTTGCGACACTGCCCCTACTGTCGCAATTATATCTACTTCTGGCAACAGCTTCAGTGCAGCGGCTTTTCCATCACTATCGAAAAAATAGCCTAGTTAACACAGCCACAAAGTCATAAACTCCGCCTACTTCTTCAATTTATCTTAATGAAATCAGATTTTAAACCTAATCTTAACACTAACCTGAACCGCACGGATAACCTTATGCCTACACCTAGCCTTAAATTAAGACCAAAAAGTACATTATTGTTTTCATACATTTTTACAATATTGCAAATGTTTACTTCGTGGCTGTGCTATCTAGTGGAAACCACTTTCCACGTGATTTGGTGGTATGGCAACACAAGACTATCAACTGTCTAATCTAGAGGAATATGCCTACCTAAAATGCCTGCATCATAGGTAAGTAAGCGAAATGTAAAACCATGATTTTATTTAATTTAAAGCTGCAAAATGTTACTTTTTGTATGAATGACCAAATTCACATAGAAATGTGTGTTATAGATCTGCAATTTTCATTGAAAGCAAGCCTAAGAAGCTGTAGATCTGTTCTATATACGTTATTTCTATGCTTCCCGTTCTTAAATTTCGTCTTTGCGTCTTTTACTTTTGATTTTGGTACACCAGCTTCAAACAGCAATATTTTTGGTTACTGAAATGTTTTTTTTTTACAGATTTAGATGGTACAATGATTCTCTACACCTTTCTTTGTTTCGTCACATAAACTAAAATTAGGTGAACTCTTCGAAATTTAGCAACCAGGAAATGGCGCTGCGATTTCTGCGTATTGCACTATTAATATTTTCTATTTGCAGGAGGTCTCTATTAACCCTAGCCCTTGATCATTACTCCCAGTTCCATTACATTACACATAAAAGTCTTTTTTAAGAGCCACGACGCTCGGTCTGAACATTAACATGCATAAGAATCTTACCATTCATATCATGATTTTTGTTATTATTTTTTAATAACGAAACTTAATAAGTCGGTTCTTTTGAATGTGTTGCCACATTTAATAACATACATGCTAAGTAGCCATGTTCCCAACTGCTGTCATGTTTTAGTGCATTCGCACAAGTAGACAGTATGAATTGACCCATTCATCCCAAAACACACCTTTATAGGGTTAGGGTTCCCACACGGCCATATTTCCATGTTACAGTGCTTGTTTACAGAAAACAGATGGATGACAGAGCGGACCACCTGTGCTAATTATCTCTCTGCGTCTCCAAACACCTGTGTGTAAACGGAAGACAGAGGCCACAAACGTGTTGTCACTGAAAAATACTGTCGGCTGCAACTGTGTTAAAACAGTGTACAGTAAGTATCTTGCATTTGTGAAATTATTTTGATGTGATATGAAAGTAGAGGGATTTATGTTTCTAGAACCGTACCGCAATTGAGAATCGATTGACGTTTAGAAATAGTATTTGGCTGTTTTGTCTTCCAGAGCAAATTCTCCCTTTAAACACAACATGTAAGGTCCTTGGACTAAGGAGTAACGTTAGGCTCCTTAAGTCCAATATTGAGCTATATTAGCCCATCACCGTGCACAAAGCAATTTCATTTATCTTATGATTTTATCATTCTGAAACACTCATACGGAGTCCTGAAACATCATCACTAGTTTTCTTTCCAGTGTTCTCAGCCTGTAAATAAGACTCAATAACAAATCACACTGTAGTGGTAATTATAGTTAGAAAATCACGTTATCATAATTGTGCCATATCTTGTAAACATGGTTGGGTTTATAAGTAAGTTAATTACATTTGAAGATGTCCACTCAATCATCATAACTTTGGGCATAATTATACTGTTTAAAGGCCCACCCATAATGCATATATTAATTTAATTTAATCAATACAAATGTACTGAACAAAAATATAAACGCAACATGCAACAATTTCAAAGATTTTACTGAGTTGCAGTTCATATGGGGAATTCAGTCAATTGAAATAAATTCATTAGGCGCTAATCTATGGATTTCACATGACTGGGAATACAGATAAGCATCTGTTGGTCACAGATACCTTAAAAAAAAAAAGGGCATTCAAATTGCCATCGATAAAATGCAATTGTGTTCGTTGTCCGTAGCTTATGCCTGCCCATACCATAACCCCACGCCACCATGGGGCACTCTGTTCACAACGTTGACATCAGCAAACCGCTCGCCCACACGACGCCATACAAATGGTTTGCAGTTGTGAGGCCAGTTGGATGTACTGCCAAACTCTTTAAAACGATGTTGGAGGTGACTTATGGTAGTCAGCATGCCAATTGCACGCTCCCTCAAAACTTGAGACATATGTGGTATTGTGTTGTGTGACAAAACGGTACATTTTAGAGTGGCCTTTTATTGTCCCCAGCACAAGGTGCACCTGTGTAATGATCATGCTGTTTCATCAGCTTCTTGATATGCCACACCTGTCAGGTGGATGGATTATCTTGGCAAAGAAGAAATGCTCACTAACAGGGATGTAAACAAATTTGTGCACACAATTTGAGAAAAATAAGCTTTTTGTGCGTATGGAACATTTCTTTGATCTTTTATTTCAGCTCATGAAACATGGGACCAACACTTTATATGTTGCATTTTTGTTCAGTGTGTATATACACTGCTCAAAAAAATAAAGGGAACACTTAAACAACACATCCTAGATCTGAATGAATGAAATAATCTTATTAAATACTTTTTTCTTTACATAGTTTAATGTGCTGACAACAAAATCACACAAAAATTATCAATGGAAATCACATTTATCAACCCATGGAGGTCTGGATTTGGAGTCACCCTCAAAATTAAAGTGGAAACCCACACTACAGGCTGATCCAACTTTGATGTAATGTCCTTAAAACAAGTCAAAATGAGGCTCAGTAGTGTGTGTGGCCTCCACGTGCCTGTATGACCTCCCTACAACGCCTGGGCATGCTCCTGATGAGGTGGCGGATGGTCTCCTGAGGGATCTCCTCCCAGACCTGGACTAAAGCATCCGCCAACTCCTGGACAGTCTGTGGTGCAACGTGGTGTTGGTGGATGGAGCGAGACATGATGTCCCAGATGTGCTCAATTGGATTCAGGTCTGGGGAACGGGCGGGCCAGTCCATAGCATCAATGCCTTCCTCTTGCAGGAACTGCTGACACACTCCAGCCACAAGAGGTCTAGGATTGTCTTGCATTAGGAGGAACCCAGGGCCAACCGCACCAGCATATGGTCTCACAAGGGGTCTGAGGATCTCATCTCTGTACCTAATGGCAGTCAGGCTACCTCTGGCGAGCACATGGAGGGCTGTGCGGCCCCCCAAAGAAATGCCACCCCACACCATGACTGACCTACCGCCAAACCGGTCATGCTGGAGGATGTTGCAGGCAGCAGAACGTTCTCCACAGCGTCTCCAGACTCTGTCACGTCTGTCACATGTGCTCAGTGTGAACCTGCTTTCATCTGTGAAGAGCACAGGGCGCCAGTGGCGTATATACACTGCTCAAAAAAATAAAGGGAACACTTAAACAACACAATGTAACTCCAAGTCAATAACACTTCTGTGAAATCAAACTGTCCACTTAGGAAGCAACACTGATTGACAATACATTTCACATGCTGTTGTGCAAATGGAATAGACAACAGGTGGAAATTATAGGCAATTAGCAAGACACCCCCAATAAAGAAGTGGTTCTGCAGGTGGTGACCACAGACCACTTCTCAGTTCCTATGCTTCCTGGCTGATGTTTTGGTCACTTTTGAATGCTGGCGGTGCTTTCACTCTAGTGGTAGCATGAGACGGAGTCTACAACCCACACAAGTGGCTCAGGTAGTGCAGCTCATCCAGGATGGCACATCAATGCGAGCTGTGGCAAGAAGGTTTGCTGTGTCTGTCAGCGTAGTGTCCAGAGCATGGAGGCGCTACCAGGAGGCAGGCCAGTACATCAGGAGACGTGGAGGAGGCCGTAGGAGGGCAACAACCCAGCAGCAGGACCGCTACCTCCGCCTTTGTGTAAGGAGGAGCAGGAGGAGCACTGCCAGAGCCCTGCAAAATGACCTCCAGCAGGCCACAAATGTGCATGTGTCTGCTCAAACGGTCAGAAACAGACTCCATGAGGGTGGTATGAGGGCCCGACGTCCAGAGGTGGGGGTTGTGCTTACAGCCCAACACCGTACAGGACGTTTGGCATTTGCCAGAGAACACCAAGATTGGCAAATTCGCCACTGGCGCCCTGTGCTCTTCACAGATGAAAGCAGGTTCACACTGAGCACATGTGACAGACGTGACAGAGTCTGGAGACGCCGTGGAGAACGCTCTGCTACCTGCAACATCCTCCAGCATGACCGGTTTGGCGGTGGGTCAGTCATGGTGTGGG